GGGGTCACATACAATATATGATCATTACTGCAGAAAACAAATAATTTAATCATATAAACTATTTCTTTTGGGGGTATATTTCCACCATCTCTTAAATACGATGCTAAGAAGAATCAATATAAAACTTTTAAAGTCACACATAAACAAATGTAAAGTAACATGAGCTATATAATAGTTTGAAATATCTGTTTCCAGGCAGCCACAGGAAGTACTGTGTAGTTTGTGAACACCTCTTGACTTCTAAATGGGAATAGGAAGAGAAACACACTCTAGGGAAATAATACACTGCTATTGAAGAATCAGTTGTGTTTGTGCTGAAAGGAAGGATTTCTTCCTTCTTTTCTTTCCAACCCGAACACTTTTGTAGTTCACATTCCTCCTGCATCCCAGAGCAGCATCCATCTATAGTGGCAATAATGGCTCTAGCCACAAGCATCTTACAATATGAGGCAAAGCTGTGTCTTATTCTGTAAACAAAAAGTAACTTGGGGGGATTCCTGGAAGGGGGTTATAAGCTCTTGATCTTACAGAGGACCCAGATTCGAGTCTCAGTATCCATATTGTGGCTCACAAACATCTGACTCCAGTACCAGGAGATCCAGCGCCCTCTTCTGACCTCTTTGGACACTATGCATACACAGTGCTGCATAGACATACATATAAGCAAAACACTCATATACAGAAAATAAACAAACATAAACAAAGACAAACAGACAAACCAGTCCCAAGCAAGTAGACAAGCATTTTTCTAGGGCTTACGGATGTTATTTCTGACCTGGATGTTCAGGGTTTCCGGCTTTAGGTTCCTCCTCCTCTGTTCCCCTCTTCTTCCCTCCTTTTCTTAGTGGAGCTATAATTCAGAAAATTATCCCCTTTAAAAAAGCATAACAAATTACACAACAGTCCTGAATAACTCTGGGATATTTTACTATCCTTCTCAAGTATCTCTGGCAATCAGCAGCCCTGGTTTTGTCAGGGTTCTCTAGAGGAACATAACTTACAGAAAGAACCTATCTATTTCTCTATCGTCTGTCTGTCTATCATCTATCTATATAAAGGGGACTTATTAGAATGGCTTACAGGCTGTGCTCCCTCTAGTCCTACAACAGCTGTCTACCAGTAGAAGGTCTGAGAATCCAGTAGATGTTTAGTTCAAAAGGCTGGATGTCTTAGCTGGTCTTCAGTGTATGCCAGAATCCTGAAGAACTATTTCCTTAGAAGTAAATATTATAATTAGACCCATAAATAAATCAAGTGGTTTGATTAATAAACAATCCTTCACAGGTATGCCCAACCATTAAAGTAAAATATAGATGTAGTCAAGTTGATAGCCAAGAATATTCATCATAATCTCCCCATGCTGCCTGTGTCCAGCCTTTAGTAACCACAAATCTGTCACAGCTCTATTTGGGGTTTTTGGGGGTTCTGCCTAGTTACATTAAGTAAGGTAAAGCTAAACTGCCTTGCAAACTACATACATACGTACATACGTACATACATACATACATACATACATATATACATACATATATGTATATATATTGGTTTTTCAAGACAGAGTTTCTCTGTATAGCCCTGGCTGTCCTGGATCTTACTCTGTAGACCAGGCTGGCCTTGTCAGCTTTTATCACTGTTATTCTGACTTTAGCTGTCATAGTGGATCTGAAGTGCTCTCTGTAGCTTTGGTTTGAACATCTCTAATAACTAATGACCTTAGTAAGTATCTTTTCATTCTCTTCCTTGCTGTGCATGTATGTGTGCGTGCGTGCACACACACACACATATTCATCAGAGAAATAGTTTTTCAGATTGCTTGCATTTACTTTTGTAGTAGACGTTTATAGAACAGTTTCAGATTTAGGGAAAAACTAGAGAACTGAGTTCCAGCACCCAGAGCCATCAACTATAATCACAATACATGTACCTTACATCCCATCTCCACATGCTACACTTGTTACATTGAGATGTCACTCTTAAGTGAAGTCTGGAGTTGATACTGTAGTTTTTTCTGTTCCAGGACATCATATCACATCTGGATGTCCTCTCTCTTCTGCCTCGTCTTGGCTGTAGCTGTTTCTGACTTACATTTTTTTTTTTGTATTTTTGTAGTTAAAGAAAAAAGTCTACTTTGAGTGTTTTGCTTGAGTTAAGTGTACCACATTTGTACAGTGCTGAAAGGGGCCAAAAGAGGGTACTGGATATTCTGGAACTGGAGTTCAGATGGATGCTGGAATTGAACCCAGGTCTTTTGGAAGAACGGCCTGTGCTTTTTAACTCCTGAGCCATTTCTTCTGCTCTGACTTTCCTAGTCTTTGTTGACCTAGTAGTTCTTGAGGAGTTATGGTCAAAACTTTTGTAGAATGCTTCCTTATTGCATTTATCTTACTTTCCCGCCTCATGACCAGAGTAAGGTGATGGGACTTAGGAAGACCACAGAAGTGAAGTGCTATCTTTATCATACCAGGTGAATTATATAAATACATTTTTAAAATCACAGTCAAGCAGGATTTTTAAATCTTTTAAAAATCTTTTAAATATTTTAAAATACTTTTCTCTGAAAAGTGTAAGTATCAGACTTTAAAATTTCATTTTTACTTTTTGTGTACCTGTATGTATGTTTATCACATATACATGGGGTTGCATGTGCCCAGAGAGGCCAGAAGGGGCATCAAATCCCCTGCAACTGAAGTTCCAAATGGTTGTGAGTTGTCACGTGTATTCTGGGAACAGAACCTAGATCCTTTGCAAGAGCAACCAGTGCTTTAATCTTTGCAGTTCCCATGGTAGCATTAAGGAAACACAGCAAATACAGTTAACTTGGCATTTAGAAAAGGCTTCAGCTTTAACCTTCAGACTATGGTTTTCAGGAGTTTGTTTTATTTAAGAGTAAGAAAGTACATGAGGATGTGGCAGTTTAAGTTGAGAATGACCCCAGTGGGCTCATACACTTGAGTACCTGGTTTCCAGTTGATGGAACTGTTTGGGAAGGACTAGGAGGTGTGGCCTTGTTTGAGGAGGTGTGTCACTGAGGGTGGGTCTTGAGGCTTCAGCGACTCATGCTATTCTCAGTTTGTTTTCTCTGCCTTGTGCTTGTGGATCAGGATGTGAGCTCTCTGCTGTTCCTGCTGACAGGCCTTTGCCCTCATGGACTCTCATTGGAACCATAAGCCCAACTTCCTTTTATAAGTTGCCTTGGTCATGGTGTTTTATCAGAGCAATAGAATGTAACAAGACAAAGGACACACACACACACAAATCTCAAGTTTCTTGTATTCAGTTTTCCCTGTAGTTGGGTGCTGATGTGTCTGAGCAGATTGTCCTTTGTGAATATCCCCAAGTCAAGATGGAGATGTCCAATAGAGTGCAGGTGAAAAGCAGCAAAGGAGAGCTTAACCAGATACTGAGCCAAAAATTTTGCCCCAAAGATTTCTTTCTTGCTTCTTATGTCATTTATGTCCTTTAGTAACAGTAAAACAAATAGAGCCATTTTGGAGTGAGAGATACAAGCTGACTTATGAAAAATAGGATTCCCTCCCCACCCTCAAGAAATCAAAGTACCTGAAAGATAGGCAGGGAGAAATAATTAGTTTATTTTGACAATGTACCCTTGAAACTAGGGACATTTTTATGTACAATCTACTATCTCATTCCCAGGAATAATTTCTGAAGCTATGAGAACACACACTCTGATATATTCACAGCACCTTTACTGAGACAATTCACATTCAGGGTTTTTTTCTCCCCTAATGGACAACTAACACTACAGTGGAATAGAGTGTTACAAATAATAGAAATCTTTTTAAAGCACAGAGCCTTTTTGTAGTATGGCTTATATGTACTACAGGAATCAATTTCTTTTTATTAATAATATACATGACAGAATGTTGGGGATATTTAAAACGGTGCCACCTGATCTGGCTTGTTCTTAAGCAGCTGCCATGTTACTGACTAGACAAGGCCTGAGGCCAAGAGCAGCCAGCGTGCTCGTGCCACTGCTCAGCTCTAACTGCAGCTCAGGCTGGCCAGAAGCACTGGCCCTTGGCACCCATTCGACACCAGCATGGGAGATGACTCTGCCAATCCACCATGCTGTCTCCACAAAGCTTGGCTGAGCCCAGATAATACCCACCATCCCACGGTACCCAGTAGAATGAAGAATCTTAATACATAATGGCTCTCCAATTGGTATATATATTTGGTAATGCTCAATTAACAAGATGCCCACACAACCAGCATTGTTACCCAATACCTAATACTACCTATAGATACTATAACTACCTTAGACTGCTAGAGACATGTGCACATCCTAAGCCATCTTCTCCTCCTCCCCAGTTCCTCTTCTCCTCCTTCCTTGCTCCTCCTTTTCCTCCTCCTCTTCCTCCTCCCACATTAGCTCGTCCCCAGTCGTGCCACTGCAAACAGTAGCAGCAACGGGGAACCATCCTGCTACAACTGAATAATTGCCTTTTAAGATATTTAATTTCCACAGAATACACATAGAATGAACCTGATATTTCAGAGAGCTGTCTGCTTATTTATTTATCTTGTCGTACACATGCCAGAGCTTCTGCATACTAGGCAAGTGTTTTACTATTGAGCTCTATTATCTAGACTGTAGTTGATGATGTTTTTCTATTATTCTTCTTTTAACAAGGGCAGTTAGAAATCTTTGTTCCTCCACAAGTTTAAATGGAGTTATGAAACACCCACCTGCTTCTTCTATGGTGTTGACAGGGTTATTCTTGTGTTACTAATAAATGAAGGAGTGAGGCTTTTTGAGGTTTTGAAACCTAACTTCACAAGCTCTGTGACATAGCCAAGAGAATAGCAAACCCATTATCATAGGCTTCCTCTTATGACCTGATTAGAAATGGAAATCATTGGTTGTGCTTTATTATTGTCGGTGACTATTAAGTTTTAGCAGGTGAACTGAACAACTTAATTCCTCCTTAATTCATGTTTAGAAACAAACAAGTAATAAATAAGACCGGGAGTCAGACTGATAGAAGACAAACAGCTTTATTGCCAGCAAAACTAGCCGAAAAGTGAGGCTGGGATCTTGCTCAAATGTGAGGCAACAGTGGCTGGCTTACCATTGTAGGCTCCTTACCTCCAAGTGCAGAGGCATCAGCTCAGGACTAGCAGTATTCCCTACAGTGCCAGCTATCTTGTTGATTTGCTCTGAATGACCCTTTGCCAGGGTCATCCTGGCTTTAGGATGGCTGTTCTAACTCCAGCCATCAAGTATGATTTCTGGTTTCCAAGAAGAAATACTTGTCATCTTTTCTCACTTGTATCCTGCTAGTTCCAATATATTTACTTATTCACATTTAGTACAAATACAAGTATTCTGGGAAAAGAATATATTGTTGGACATTCTACAGTCTGGGCCATATTGCTGAGTTGAATCTAGGGAACTTGGCAGAGACAGGGCTGGGCAATCGCTTGTCTTACAGGGATTAGCAAGATGTGGGCTATGAAGTAGCCTTCCCTTGAGAGTAGGTTGCTTGCAGGAGATGAACCCAGATGGAATTTAATCACTTAATGCTTGGCTCCCTCTGATTTCTGTCCACAAAGGGGCCAGCAGGTAGGACTTCCTTTCCTACCTGGTGCCTGGATTTTCTAAGGGGCCATATAGTGAACTGTCATAGGGCAGGAAAGTGGTGCATGACTGGGCACCACAGTAGCAAGGCTTTCTTGGTGGTCCACAATCTATCCTTTCTTTGTCTTTACTGCTTATTTGATTAAGGAATCTTCCTGAATAGTCATAAGAGAGTTCTTCTCCTGGCAAAATATCTTTGGCTGCAAAAAGTGCCAGCTTAGGTACCATTGAGTCAATTCGGATGGGAATCATCAACAGATTTGGTTCACAAGAATGATTGAGGAATCTCCCAATATTTCCTACATGGGTAGGGTCGACAAATGTTTCCATGACTTGTCCATTGTAAATGTGCTCCCTGATGGCGATGATGTAATTTGGGTCATGTGTTGTTTGTAGGTGAATTCTTCTTTGCACTTCAGAGACTCCTAACACCTCCCCAGCATACTCACAGACGAACCTTCCCTTGGGTATAGATTCCAGGGTCCGAAGTCCCCAGCCTTTTTTTTCCGTCTGGAACACCTGGAGAAGGAATTGTAGTCCATTCTGGACCACCCTGTTTCTGCAGTGCTCGCCACACTGGCAAAGAACATTGCATTCAAAAACCGGCCTGGCGTACTTTGCTTCCAATCCCACATCCCTAAGGCATAAATTGTCATCGTAGTTATTCTCGTGGCGAAGACAGGAGCAAGTACCAGGGACACATGGAGTTTCAATGCAAGCACATCCAGGGAAGGTTATTTCTGTGGGGTCGATCTCTGTTCCAGGCCCAGCTACATGATCAGGAGTATACTGCAAAAATTAGAAACACTGGTTAGAGTGGTATTCATGTATTTCATATGTGTAGCTTTTGGTGGGGACTTTCAAATTCCAGCATATATGAAATATGGTAAGACAAGCCTGCAAGAACATAACACACTGAAACATTGCCCTAGAAGATCCTCTCCTACTTACAGAAATTAAGTTTTAAAGATTTGTTTTGATTTTTACTTCTGTGAATGTGTGTGTCTGTGTATGTTACATGTGTGCAGGTACCAATGGGGATCAGAAGAGGACTTTCATCCTCTGGAGTTGAAGTCACAGGAGGTTGTAAGCTGCCTGACAAAGAGTGCTTGAAACCAAACTCAGGTCCTCTGCAGAAATAGCAAGAACTCCAGAGACCTCTCTCCAGTCCCACAAATTCCCTTCCAAAATTCAAAGTTTTGTGGTCTTACAGGAGTAAAATAACAATAGGAATCTTTTTCCTTATAATCAGGAACTGAAATTTTCGAAACTTGGTTTGTTTCCCTCACAGTTCTGAGTATCAGGGACTAAATTTTTATTTTTTGTCCTATATGAACTGCATATGTGTTCATGATGATAGGATCTTTTTTTTTTTCTTTTTAAATAGCTTACTAAGTCCACTTAGTGCTACCCTTATGTGCGTGATGTGGGGCTGTCCCCTGGACAACGGGCAACCTGTCGGTAGCCACATCCCAGGGAACGATTTCCCTTCTTTCAGCAGCTGTCATCTGCCAAGAGGGCCTAAGTTAGAGGAGTCATCTCCCCGTCCATGCTGGGATTTTCGCTGGTCTGATCTTGTGAAAGTCTTCCCAGGTAACCACGGCTGCGGTGAGTTCCTGAGTGCAGCAGCCTCGTCACGTCCACAGGACGGCATTTCACCGAGCGCCTCCGCATCCTCCAGCTCTTCTGCTTTCCCCACCTCCTCTCTGTGCCGTTCCCCAGCCTTGGCACAGGTGGGAGGATTGAGGAAAATGTTCCATTTAGGGCTGAGCACTCATAATCCTTTATTCTCAAGCACTTTGACCAAAACCTACTCAGTTTGCTATCTATATGAAGTTTAGCATTTTATCCTTAGCTTTTTTTTTTCTTTTTAGCATTATCTGATAATGTATGCACAAACATGTTTATTATGAGAGATTCTAGGCTAGAAAGTCATAAATGTTAAATCAATCACAGAAATTATAAATAATCATTTATAAGATGAAATGTATTACATAGGTATCAATATATAAATTATAGATGTATCTGATACATGTAAAGAAATTCTATTCTTATTAAATGACAAATGGACAATTTGGAAACATTTCTTGGTGTTTTGAATGTACCTGAATTTTCAAAACATTACATTTATAAAATATGAAGATTAAAGTCTCAAATCTAAAATCTCTTGGAAAGCCTGCTGCTGTAATTGTTTCCTTGCAGCTGCTAAGAAGCATAATTTTAAACCCTGAAGCTTAAAGTGTCTTTTAGGGCTGGGGAGATGGCTCAGCTGGTAGACTCTTGCCATACAAGCACAGGGATCTGGCTCTGATTCCCAGGCAGACATGTTAAAAAAGAGTCTGGTGTGGCAGCATGCACCTGTCACTCTAGCACTGGAGATACGGAGGCAGCAGGATCCCCAGGACTCACTGGAGGGCCAACATAGCCTATCAGTGAGTTTCAGGTTCAATAAGAGACCCTGGCTCAAAAACGGGAAGGTGGAGAGCAGGTGAGGAAGATGGTGGCGGGGTAAGACAGTGTTCAGCTGCCATAAAACTTCTGTTAATCCCTCTAAAGTGCTTGGATTATAGACGTGAGCCGTTATGCCCAACAACCTTTCAATTTTTTAAACTGATAATCTCGGGCATTTTTTTTTACAACAGCAGAAAGCTGACTAACCCAGCTTAGACATAGAAAGTGTGCAGCAGAAAGAGGCTGGAGGCTTGCCTTCACCTGGAAGCAGTCAGTCCAAAGAGGGCATATGATTAGATTCGAGTCTTTTTAACTTGCATCTAATCTGTTTAAGGAACAAACTTACCATCAGAAGCAACACTGACTTTACTAGTACAAATAAAAGAAATTGGACCAGTCCCCTTCCAAACCATTCTTCTGTAGGAGGCAGTTCATAGAGACTGTTTATTCTGACCCTTAGTAAAGTGGCATGCCAATGTGTCAAAAGAGCTGGGTAAGAGTGGTTCTGCAAGGCACCAACTACTTGGCTTTTCATTTGGGAGTAAGGATTTTACAGGATCCCAAGGAATCTTGGAACTGCCCACCTCGGTCCCTTGTTAACAGGATGTCTCCTGGCTCATCTTTAGAAAAACATTGAACAGCATGTTGTGACACTTCCTGTGGAGGCTTGGTAGGGAGCTGTGCGGTTAAGTGCAGAAGCCTATACTTTAAAAAGCACAGAACTGGGGGAGGATTGGCATTCCTGGTGAAAGATTAAGAAGGTGAGGAGTGGGAGTCTGAGATGGGGGGCAGGCCAGCCTTCTGCTTAGACAGTGATTCCGGGTGGGGAGTTAAAGAGCTTCCTCTTGCATTGTGTCTTACCACTTTAGCTGAGCAGGGATGTCCTACAGGGATGAAAGAGATGCTCCTGTCCATCAAATGCACTGTCTGTCTTACTCAGAACCCACTTTTGGCTTTTTAACAATTCAGCATTGAAATGTAAATGGTTATTGGGGCATTTTAAGAAGTAGCTGTAAAATGAAGATTTTATGATCTCCTTGTGAAACCTTACATGAAGAGTATTTTTAAACTGATTTGTTCCTCAAGGAGCACATCCTTTTAAAGTACAGTATTAAGTCACTGAACTATAAAATGATCTTCTCCCCAACTGAGATGATTTTTTTTAAAAAACCAAATTTGACTTACTGTAGTTTTCTAACCAGAAGAGTATCTTTCTTTTTTACCCCTAAAATTTAGTTGTTTATTTCTACTTAGAAATTTTAAAAAAGTATTTTCAAGACTCTTTTGATATATTTTACTCATTTTTGCCATCCTGAAGATTGCACCTAGGGCCTCACACATACTAGATGAGTGCTCTACTGCTGAACTATATCCCCAGTTCATAATTTACTATGAAATATTCTTTTACATGCTTTTATATATTTTCCTACCATGTGCCAGGAATGTGCTGGGTTTGATCCTTACGAGAGAGAGAGAGAGAGAGAGAGAGAGAGAGAGAGAGAGAGAGAGAGAGA